TGCGGTTGAGACACTTGTTAAATGAGTGGACTTAAGCAATTCATTTGAATTCAAATCTATTTTAAGGCCCGAATGTTAAGGTTGGATATTTTGTCAATTTTTCAGCTTTTCACACTTATTAGCCAAGATTCATAAATTATTTTAGAAAAAATTACTAATAGGTCATAAATACTGATGATTTATAAATAAATACAAAAATCCCTTATTTAGGATGCATCATTAATTTCCAGCTTGATTTAATTCATCCTGCACATGAGTATACCTTTACTCACCGAATCCAAATCTAATTTGAGGCCCAAATGTTAAAGTGGTTATTTGTCAAAATTTTCGGAAAAATCCCTTATTCAGGACGCATCATTAATTACTAGCTTGATTGATATCATCCTGCATGTGAGTCAATTGCAAGCGTCTTATGAATAGAATACATACATGGCGGCTCTTATATTCCAAATTTGAAGTCCAAACTCCTAATGTTAAATCAAAATTTCTAGCCACTCATTCATTTAGCTAAGATCCAAAATAAGAGTCTTATTTATTAACAAGTCATATGAATATGCTAAAATAATACGATGATGCTAAGGTAAGACTCATCATTGATTATCAGCTTGATTAATATCACCTTGCATGAGTCAAATGCAAGCTTCATATCATGCAATATACATGGCTAGCCATATATTCCGAGATTGAAGTCCAAATTAAATGATAAAGTGGGTATTGTGTCAAAATTTTCGGGATCGATCCATAAGTAACTTTTTAAAAAATTACAAATAAGTCCTATAAATTTGTTAAAATGCCGTAATGCTAAGGTAGGACGCATACTAGCTTGATTGAACCAGTTTTCGTGAAACCTAGTTAGTTCATGTAAAAAGTAGTATGTGCCTTTTGAAAAACTCAAGTTTGCAGATCCTACAACACTTGGACCAATTTTGACAAATCCCAAATCTTGTTTTCAAAACTTGTCAGACCAATTTTCACCAAAAATTGGATCTTGACCACGTGAAAACTAAGTCTCTCTAGAGGTTACTCACTTATGTTTTCTAATTTTCTTGAGAAACAGATAGAACCAATGCGTGAACTAGTTTTCCAAAGAAGCTTGTACTTCTACCTTACTGAAACATGCAAAAACCAAAATGTTCGCACGTGCGAAAAGAAGACTGAGCTCTCCACAAGCCTTCTCCAACTCTCAATCACACGAAAATGAACTCCTTCACATGTGACGTAGAATTCTAACACACATTTAATGAACTTCACATATAAAGTTTTAAAAAACCAAAAAATAATGAAAAAAATTATGTTTGAAAATGTGTTTTCTACTATATATTCTAAAAATCAAAAAAGTAAAAAGATGTTTTGAAGAATTAAAAAATCACAGCATCTTTTAGATGTTTTGTTACTTTCTGTTTTACAAAATTAGAGAAAAAACAGAAAATATCGTGATTTCATTAATGAAAATTATGTTAATAAAATAAATTTTTCTTTCACCCTTTATTTCACTAATTTAGATATGTTTTTTAAAATAATGAACATAATTATCATTAATGAAAACGTAATGCTTTCTGTCTTTTCTCTATTTTTGTAGAACAAAAAAGTAACAAAACATAAAAAAAGATGTTCTGGTTTTTTAGTTTTTTGGAACAACTTTTAACTTCTTTAGAACACTGTACATAAAACACATTTAATTTCCAACAGTTTTTTTTTACTATTGTTTTTTCAAAACAAAAAACTATTCTAAAAACAAATAATCAAACAAGTCCGTCTTCTCCCAGTGTCGGCTTCTTTTCTCCTTAACCCTTTCAGTCCTGCTTGTTGCTTCTGAAATTTTGCTGTTGATACTTTTTTGTTTTGTCTTTATCTATTGCTTTAAGCTTGTTGACTAGTGAATATTTCCATTTGAATACCATTGCCCCTCCGTTCTTGTTTGTTTGTTGTTGTTGTTGTTGTTTTTTTTTTTTTTTTGTGCTTATCAGAACAGAGAAGTTTTCAATTCTAGAATCAGTTAATGGCACCAACATCATTTTGCAACGATAGCAATTGACATCCTCCTTTATTAAATCTCTAACCTTCTAACTCTGCTTTCTCTTCACTTGCTTCATTATTCTTATAAATGACAACAAAGACACTAGTGAGGAGTTCATCTCTCTAAATTGAACCAATCTTTAATTTAATTTTCATGACATTTCCACCATAAATATCCTTAATACACATATATATACTTTAAATATTCCTTGATAATTAAACCATTCTCGCAAAAAAAACGACAATGTGAATTCCTAGAAGACTCCTAAAAAAGATAACAGGTATCATTAATATGGGGTGTCATCCTCAATATCCTTTTAAAAATGCATGGAATGCCAATGAAAAGAATATAAGTGAATGTTTGATACACCTAAAAGTGTTTTCTAGAAAGGGAAATAAGAAATGTACTTTGAAGGAAAGCGTAATAGGTACATTTCTCATTTCCTTTTTTAAAAGAAAAAAAGTTTTTCACGTGCCAACATATGGCATAAGTGTAAAAGGATTATCGTTCAACTACAGTACAAAATTAAAATAATTGATATAATGAGGGTTTCTCCCCAATATTTTGAGTTTTATTCATTTAAAACATATTAAAATTACAAAGTAAAATCTCATAATTTGCAATCAAACGAAGTAAACATTGTACTTGAATACATTGACAATAACTTTCTTATTTATTGAATTAAACCACTTTAGTTGACAAACTCCTAAGTAAATACGTGGCCTTGGCCTTCGTGGCTAGAAGGAACAGTGATGTGCTTGTAGATAGATTCACCAACATGAAGCCATGACTTCACGTACTCCTGAAGATCAGAAAGGCTTTGATTTCTTCTGTAACTGTACATAAGAAGGACCATCCTTGCAGCATTGAGGCAGAACTTGGTGAAAGAAGGAGGAAATGGGCTTGTGATTAGGGTTTCTTGATTGAGACGTCTCCATGCTTTTGAAATCAAGTAGGCTACTTGTGTTTGTGCTTCTTCTTCTGAAGCACGGTTTTCTTTCATGCAACAGTCAAGGTATGATCCATCCACACCACTCTGATCATCACTCTGAATTAGTTATCACAGCTTATTGTTAGTATATAAGTAGTCATGGCGTCATCTTAAGGATAAGTATAGTAATTGTTCTTATCCTTTGATGAAAGAGACGTATAGGTTAAATATTAGTGCTCAGATAAAATAAAATATAAACCATTCAATTTTGATCTTGTCCATCTCGATGAAATTTGATCATAGTGAACATTCTGACTTAGAAATGTCTTGAAAAATAGATGATGATAAAATGCTCCAAATAATTTGCAAGATTTTGAAACCTAAAATTATAGAGGAGGGGGATGAGACTCATCATGAATTGTAGTTCCATTTTTTAATTAAAATTCAAATTTTGATGGTCTTATCAAATAAAGGTTAAGAAATTGTTTTTCTTTACTTGATATATAGATGGAAGTTAAAGCTATAATAAAATAGAGTACTATAACATAAATTTAGAAGGGAAATGTTCAACCCACCCAAAGGCCCCCTTCACCTTCCTTTCTGTACCTCTCACTTTCATTCTTGTCCTCGTTGGTCTACCACATATTTTCTTTTCATCTTTTTCCACCACATGATTGATGGAAAAATTATTATATTAAATGAAAATATCATTTTTTCCACCATATATTAGAATGGCTGTCAATCAAATGTAATGACTTGTTAATGCAATGCCTTTTGGAAAATATGTACTCCTCTAGCCCTACTTATAAAACACCTCAATGATTACTATGTTCATCTTTACCATTTTGCCCTATTAATTAAATGTAGGGAAGTTTATTTAATGCTAAAATAGGTTCATTTAATAACGATAAAATTAAAAATTTGTTGATTTTTTACACAAAGTTAATGAGATTTAATTTTTTTTCAGTTCTAATGAAAATGCTGGAAGTAATTTATAAACAAGATCATAGTGAATATGCTTTTATAAATATGCTTGAGTGAAGGTATATATGAATTGAATGGGTGTGTATGCTACTAAGGTTTCCCCCAAAATCTCACTCTTGATCAAAGACAAGTATATATGCTATTACCTATAAAGCCAAGAAGGAGATAAAAAATGTTCATTTTGCTAAATGGTTGTAGTATTGTTGTATATTGTTATAAAAAGTGTTGGATAAATTAATTTTAAGGGATCTATTAAAGTTGTGATATGCTGTAAACTAAATTTATGGCTAATTTATGGTTAGAAAGGTATTTTTCAAATTTAATATTTATGAATGACCAAAGCTGGAGTCTAGGATAAGGTCCTAGACTTTAGTTTGAAAAAATGTATCAATACAAGTTGAATATTTCAAGTGAGTATTTTCCTATAAAAAGAACATCCCGAGCTTCAAAATGAATCAATAAGGAACATAAAAATACAATATTTATAAATATTTAATTATGACTATTCAAAATTACCCTGAAATCTGAAATTTTCATATAACCCAAGAGAAGAAATTTAAATTTTTGGATACTTGAATTTAGTTCCCTTTTTTTTTCTTTTCAATTCAACTAAAGTGTAATTCATAAAACGACATTCAAGTTCTAACGAAATTGTTATTTTTGACATACGAATGGAAAAAACGACAACTAATTGTACTGAAATGAATGTATAATTTCAATACTTTTACCAAAAAAAAAAATTAAGTTCAAGCGAAAAACATTTCAAGGCAAGTGATAATGACACTGACACATCAAATTTTGGAATGATCCCTAATGGTCCCTATGCACTGAAAAGAGAGGGCAAGGCATTTCTCAGCCTCACACCAATGGTCTCTATGTGCACTAAAAAGATTCTTTCCTCACAAAGTCATTCTCAAAATTTAAGGATCTGTCCTTTGGCTCATTTTTCTATACTCTCTCCTGATCATTTTATAAGGCACGTTTAACCACTTTACTGAAACTAAGTAAAGTGGTTATGTCGTTAACTTTGTATGAAAAAAATAAATTTCTAATTTCACCTAATTTTAATGAAAATTCAAATTTGTGTTGTATTTTCTCTCATAGTTTAGTTGATGAATTTAAATAAGGGAAACATTGAAAAAAAATTGATATTCTACAAAGTGCCTTATTAACGACTACCAAATTTTTTTCTAGAATTTACCTTATAATAAAACCAGAAGGAATATCACAAGATTGAAAGTACACATAATTATAAATTACAGGATAGAAAGTTTAGTTCTGTTCAGTCAAATTAATTACCATGGCTCCTTCTAAATCATCACAGAGGCGTAGTATTTCACCAACTAAAGAAGAAACACTTGGAATTTGATCCATAATAGCAACAGTTTCTTCGGTGATACCTATAAGAAATTTTTAAAAAAATCTCAAATCTAGAAATTAGGATGATAGATCATGAATATATAATGTTTGGAATGTGTTAACCAAATAATTTAAGCTATTTTAGTGAAATAGACTATCCTTAATCATACTTAATATAAATAATTTAATATGATATTAAGAGCCATTCAATCTAGGACAAAAAAACCAAATAAAAGAAAAACCTGACAAAATGAAGAGAAAATAAAAGAGAGAGAGAGAGAGAGAGAGAGAGAGGAAAATTGAAGATTATATCGACCCAAAACCTGTAGGACTAAAAAGAAGGTACAAGCCAAGACAAGAAAAGGAAAATGAAAAAAAAAAAAGTAGCAGAGGGAATAAAATAGAGAAGAAAACTCCCACGTCTATAAATTAGAAGATATATGATGAATATATAATGTTTGGAATGTGTCTAACCAAATGATGGATGTGTCCTACTAAATAACTTAAGCTATTTTGGGGAGGTAGACTATTCCCAAGCATACTTAATATAAAGAATTTAACAATACCCTCATCCAAGAGGAAGAATGCATGTAAGAACACCACATGAACTCCTGAGCTCATAATCCCATTCTTCAAGTACTCTTCTGACTTTGGCAAATGACCAGAATTCAACCATCTTGCTTCTACTATGAAGGAATTCAACAATGCTGCCCACTGTTTCATGTGCAGTAAAGATTTGTTCTTATCAGTTCAAGATGATAATATAAAAAAGAAAAAGGCTTATTATGAATGCATATACCAGCGCCCACACACAGACACAGACACAGACACAGACACACACACACACACACACACACACATCCACAATTTGAAATAATGAGCTAGTTTATTTGACTCCTCACCGATTTCTTTAGGGTATTTATTGGGTTTAATCCATGCTTTTCTTGGACCTTGCTAGCCAACTCATTGATAGTGTCTTGTAGAAGATTGAAACAAACTTTCATGTAGTCCGGTAATTTCTCCGTGGCTGTGGATTCCCATCTGCATCAAGAGAATTGTTTTTTTAGCATTTTAGAATGGAATTATAATAAGAGAAAATGACATTTGAGGACCTTTTAAGAACATAAATTATGGTAAAGGACAACAATTAAAGGAAAAATAAGTATTGAAAACATCGAAGACAAGTGCTGAAAAATTAAACAAATGAGTACTACAACGTTAAAGATGATTATTGAAGATTGAAGTCGATTATTGAAAAAATAAATAAATAAATGATTATTAAAAAAATTCAATTCCAATCAAGAAATTTTGTTCTTGTTTGAAAATCTCTAAAATTTGTAATATAATATTCTTAAATGTATTTAATGATACTACATGGTCTTCGAATGTCATTTGCTATTCACAATTTGTCAACTACTGCCTCCATTTTTATATATAGGATTAGTTAATTATAATAATTATATTTGAAATTAAAGAATAAAATATCCTATGTTAATCAACATATGCATGTATTAATTATTTTTCGTTATTGTAAATTATAAAAGGGCAATTTAAAAAATGTATAACAAACACTTGTTGAAATATGTGATTTTACTTATACTAAAAAACAAGTAAAAAATGATAGTTTCTCTTATAAATAAAAACAGAGTAATATGTGCTACTGGCTATAAGTTTTTGCTTTTAAATATGTATAAATATAGATGGCATTATGTGTATCTTTTAAAATTTACATGAAATTGTATTATTTATAGATCATGAACAGTGCAATTCATCTTAAACCTTGTGTAAAGAGTACGGGACATAAACACACACACACACACACAAATACAGTTTGTATACAAATATGTACATGAATACCTATTCACAGCATTGGTAAAGTTAGTGAGCTGGTCTAGTGAACCATAAACATCAAAAATGTCGTCAATTATATAGACCAAAGAAACAGGTTTGATGAGTTCAATTCTTTGCCTGGAGAACTTTGGATCTGTGAGGCATGCCATTGGCCACATATACCATTTAACTGGATTAAACTTAGCAAATGCCATCGCCTTGGCCACTCCAAGCTCTTTCCACCACCTGTCCACTGAATTATTAGTTAGAGATCTCTAATATGTATTAATTAATATATCTACAAGCAAAAATAACTGAGCATATCATATATATATATATATATATAGTCCTGAATATATCTCACTTGGTGACTTGAAAGATTTCATTCTGGTTCAAGTGGCGGATAATGCAGGAATTGATTTCAGCAAGTTCAACAAAACTGGTCGTCCATCTATTTCTCATGAGAAAATCACTTGATGAGATGATGATGCTTGTGTTTGTGAACCTTGACAAGCTATGGTGAAGTGGATTCTGAAGAGCGTTTGCTACAGCTTGAGCTTCATAATGGCCTTCATGTGTTGACAACCACCTCTCAAGAAGTTGACGACTGAGATTGCCTGCATGAACAAGACTATCTTCTCCTTCTATGCTTAACTGTGATGTTTCATAGAGAGCAACCAGTCCCTTTATATCTTCACTGTATTTTTCTGTGAGCATTCCTTGTTTGCTCATGAAGCAGTCAAATATATCTGTACATATACCATAGTCATTATTATTATGCTTTAAACAGTATTCATCGTGCGTGGAATCACTGAAGATTGTGGTGTGAAAAGAAAGGGAATGATCGGAAAATACTAAATATTTCATACCAGCATGAACATAATGACCTGCTTGTCTGAATAAACGGAATTGAAGAGTGACTTCGACAAGTTTAAGGCTGTGTATGGAATCACCACTGATATCGATTCGAAGCTTCGAATTTTGCTGCAGAATGAGAGCCTTTTCAATTTCCTCTTGGAAAAGGTGCTCAATGCCAAGCCTTTGGATTGCATCGATCATGTACAAACTTTCCACTGGGTCGTGGTCTCTGATGACTTTGTTGAATACCAGCTTAGCTTCCTTCAATACCAAAGCGTGTTTGATTTGAATCTCTTCCTGAAAATGTGAAGGAATTGAGTTCAGAAGCTGGTTCTTTAATCCAAGCACAGAAACAAACATACATATACAAGAATATATTATTTACTTCATTAAAACACCTACCATGATGAACTCCATATATTTTTGGTGGTAATCGAGTTGATCACTCTGGGCTATTTATAATAACTTGGCAAAGATATAAATTATTAAGCATGCATGAATATACTAGTAGAAGAAAATGAGGAGCTATGTGGTCCTATGTTAGGTGGGGGAGAGTACATGATGTGTGAGTCATCACAATAATGCTACCCTATTTGAGAACCGACATCCTTGATGATTCCACTTCATATCACTTCATTCGCCTCTTTTGTTGATCAAGGCTCTTCACTTCATATCCCAATTTTCGGAACTATTTTAACTATGTGGGAAACTGAGGTCATACGTAATTGATGACGCCATACTTAAGATACCATTTATTAAAGTCAATTATATATATATATATATTTTTTTTTCTTTATGTTACGTTATTCAAGAACAAATTAAATATGGCTTCGCCTCTCAATCCATTGCATACGTATGAACACTGATTAAAAGGTCACCAACCATCTAATTAATAAAATCAAGAAAGATATTATGGAAGAGAGCCATCATTCATATATATTATAAATATTATAAATTAAACTAAATCGAAGAGTAGTCATGGATATTGAATTCCAACTAGTCACTCTACACCATTAAGATTAAATTAATTTCCAATACCAACCCTTTTCCCCAGACATGAACCACTGAATTGTGTGTCAGAATGGCGCATAATAATCCAATAATGATATTTTTTTTGGCCCCTATATGGGCTGTGGCCTTTTCAAAATTGGGAGAATAGGAATGAAGAACTACTAAAAAAATTTGTATTAGTTAAGAATTAGTTGTTATTAAAATTTAAATAGAAAAAAATTCAAATGAACTGTTATTAATTTATAATGAGTTATTGTTAAAATTCAAATAAATACTTATTGATAAAAGACTAACTTGAATCAACAGGTATCATTATTTATTTTAACAACAAGTGATTCTTAAATGATAAATTTATCCTTAATTGATATTTTTTCTTCAAAATAAAAAATATGTAAAAATTATGAAATATAGTCCCACATGACTAAAACAGAACAAGCTAAACAACCACTCATGTCTATCCATTTGGATGATGATAATAATAACAATAGTAATAACAACAACACCGTTATACATGAAATAAACTTATTTCTAAAAATTAGTACCAACAGGTTTTGGTTTTAGTAAAATGGGTTTTGCTCTCTCAAATATGAGTGAGGTCATAGAGTTACCTCTAATTAGACTTGCCAATATCTGAATCTGGCTCAATTGGATAGTTATATTAAGAAATGAAAATAAAAAATTGAGCTACTCAACAACAAAAAAATAACATGTAAAAATGTTATTTTGAATAATTTTACTGCTTGAGTGATGTATTTTGGGGCTAGGGGCATGTAATATGCTTTCTCTAATTATCTTTTTAATGTCCCAACTTCTCATTTTCTTTTTTGGTTTTCTTTGGATCATTAACTTCTAACTTTCTAGATAAAATAAGAGATATTTTGATATCTTGAAATCTCAATATGGTGAATTTTGTATTTCTTATTATTTTTTTAAAATATCACAATTACACCTTTTATTTTTGAAAAATAGTTAAAAAAATACAAAAAATGTACCATCTTGAGACTTCAAGATATCAAAATGTCTCTTATTTTATATAGAAGCTAATGATAAAAGAAACAAAAAGAAATGAAATGGAAAGTTGAACGTTACAAAGAATATTAAAGAAAAGCAAATTGGAAGCTCCGAGTCTGGTTTTCATTCTCCGCGCATGGTTATAAAACATTGAAAATTTGAAGCGTCGTGTGTCACGAGGCTTTGGGTCCCCTTCTGTCTTGTACATATTGTTATTTCGTGACGAAGGTCACACGAAATGACTGCGAGTTGTGACTTTAATTGTAATTATACATTAATGATTAGGACTTGAGAATTTAATTATAATTATGTAATAATTTACTCCTCCTCCTGTCTTATTTATAAAATCATTTTTAGCCATCTTAACGAAATTACAGTCTAAAAACCTACCTCAACAAAATTAAAGAAATGTACGTTGTCTAAAAATTTAAAAACATAATCCTTATTGAATACATTAATTTTAAAAATATTTTCTCTCTCCTATAACTTGTTAATCTCTACATTAAATGATAAAGTTAGAAGAAATAAATTAATTATTAATGTTTTTATGCAAAATGATTTATAAAAAGACTACTCCCTCTATTAAAAAATGTAAGGTATTTTTTTAGAAGTTGGATATTAAAAAATGTAAGGTATTTTTAATCTTTCAAACTGTAATTATTGTATTTTTTTTAAAATGTCCCTATTGATAAATGACTTTATATTTATTATAGAGTGTTTAATAGGAGTTAATATGGAAAGATAAGGTTAGTTTGAAAGTAGGTAACTAATTTATTGAAGGATGATATTTGGTTAAAAATACCTTATATTTTTTAATGAAGAGAGTATAAGTTATTCCTGCTAAAAAAAAAACTTACGTAAGCGGACCTTGGACCTATGAGTAGTGGGGCTGGATTTTTTCTTTTCCTTGATCAGAGACAAATTATATATACTCCACCAGTAACAAAAATTTAATTTGCCGATGTATTTCGTACATGAATAGAACCATATGAACTAGGTTTTTCACATGTGCAATAGTTGATATTCTTGTGCGCAACTACTTGTTGTGGCCAAAAAAAATTCAACTAATAATGAGAACCCTACCATGTATGGCCAACTTGATTTGCTAAAAAGGATTGAACAATTTTTCAAAATTATTTAAAACTATATAAATGATATAAATGATTTTAGTAAAACTATATATTTCAAACAATGTAAATTATTTGAACAATTTATAATGTATACCAATTTATAAATTAGTTAACATGTATACCAACTCTATCAAGAGCTCAATGGACTTTCTTTTGAAGAAAATCCAAACTTGCTCTCATTTTGTCCATGAGTAAGTCTCAACATGTGTCTATGAGCAAGTCTAGGTTTGAGCAAGCTTGACTATGAGCACATACATGTAAACTTGTTCAAACCTACTTGTGGGCAACATATAGATTTGCCCAGATTTTTATTTAGAGGTGTTCAATATAATTTAATTCAAAATCTTCTAATTTTGAATTACAATAGATTGTTGGAAAGTTGTTTTATTTAAAAGTTGATAACTTGAAATATTACGCAAACCGAAAGTTCAGGATATTAATTGTTTCTCTGCACAATCTTTCAAGGCAAAATTGCCTTTTAACCCTAGTCAAAAATTTTCAACTAATGGTCAACTATGGTCAGATGTTACAAAAGGATAACATTGTGCCATTTAAAAGTTAAATATACTAGTTCCACTCACCAGAAAGCTTCCATAACAAATTTTCCATTTAACCCAAATAAAAAATATGAGAAAAAGGAATATAAAAAACAAAGTTAATTTATTTGCATTTAGCTGCATATACATGTAAAGTCTTAAAATACTTTACATATCAGATAAGTTTGAAAGTTAATTTGTATTTCAAAACTCAAAGGATATAACAATATACGGATTATATAGTGTTCTTTATCCCAATATTTAATCATGGAAACTAAACAGTATACTGGAGTTCTGGTAAGAAAACACTGTACTAGAGTTAGCTTTTATTAATAATGTACACCAGATGCACAACAAAATGTAATTACTTTTCTATAAAAGACTTAAGTAAAAGGATACTTCTAATCGCTTTTCTTATAACAAGCATTATCATAATTATTTTAATCAGCGTTATACATTACTACTCCATTTTTATATTATCCTTCATAAATAGAGAGTGTCATTAAATTAAAAGGAAAAAGCAAATATTGATTACAAAGTTATTTTAGTCCAAACATTTGAATTTTAGATATAATTATTATGATTAACTATTTTTTTAAACCATGTCAGTTAGCAAAAATTCTCCTATATTTAAAAACTGAGGGAGTATTATATTAATAGTTAAAGAAATACCAATGAAAAAAATTAGAAAAGAAGGAAAGGATATTGGAAAAAGTGTTGTTCACTGTTGATATGAGAAACTGACAATATATAAATCATTCAAATAATAACTAATGAATACAAAATATTTCTTAAATTTCAATAGAATAAATCTTAATAAATAAAAAATTTCAACACAATAAATCTCTAGAGATAATATATTCTAATGCTTCCCCCAAATTTGTTATAGCATGTATTGATTGATCTGAAGAATACACGGTAAACGCGAAACAAATAGGCACAGTAAAGTTTTTTATCTTGATTTGGCGCTCCACTGTCTATGTCGAGTCCCTTTGAGGATATTATCAGGTAATCATTCTTTCACATAACTAGGGGAGGCATGGGGCTACACTATTACTCTCTCTCTCTCTCTCTATATATATATATATATATCTATAATTATAATTATACACATTGTTTGGTTGAAATATATCTTTTTTTAAGAAAAGTCAAACAATAAAATTACAATAAAAAGAGAAAAAAAATAAATATTTAACAATTACAGAAGTCATGGAAAAAGAGGAGCTAAATAAATTATCCCTTGTTTTGAGGATCTGATGCGAACAACTGTCTTCTTACTGAAAGAGAGGAGTAAAGTTGCAATTTCACGGACCAATAAATATTCATAACAAAGATAATATCCGTTTTGTCTTTGATATGGGCAATAATTGTTGTAACCGTGCATAAATGGGCACCATTATTTTAGCTGCAGCTTGGACAAATTTCAGCAGAGGACGAAAATTGATGAACGTACATCAATTTTTGTCGAGACTTTTCCATACATCCCATGAACCCAGATTCCATCTATGAATTACTCATTTTATTTCTATTTATAAGTTACTTTTAACATGATTTAGGGCCTGTTTGGATACCCATTGAAAATCAATTCTGGGATCAAAATCACGGTTTT